ATAGTGATAATTAGGAACTCACTAATAGATAAGCAAGTAAGGTAACCCTCATAATCATCGAGTTCATGTTGAATAATTTGTAGCATCTCAGTGTATATGTATTTAACTCCAGTTAAAATTTGGTCTGATTAAAGGCTTAACAGTCCACTAGCGGACGGTTTGGGCTTCAATGTCCTTCCCGGACAGCCCAGACTTCACACACATAGCGACTTGTCAAGGCAGGTTGGCCATTTCGTTCCTGGGCAAACCTTGAGGCCCCAAAACCGTTGAGAGTTTGACTTAGTTGGAAGTCATAGGTTCAAAAGTAAGAGCTCCTAAATAATGCTCATTTTAGGATTTTATTTTGTTATTAGAGATAAATAGAGTAGAAAATCACAATTGCTTTAGGTTTACCTTTCTAAAATAAACGAGATGAGCCTCGCCAAATAAAATGTACAGATTGTGGGGCCCTCACAAACGTATGTATTAATTACTTAAAACTCGGGATCGGCCGCTTATCGAACTTCACGACCTTTTCCCAAAATAACCACGCGTTAGTCTCTTTAGGCGCGTACTTTAAATAACATTACCTTCTTAAACCAGGGTGCACATTTATGTGACCCAAATCCAAATCTCAACGGAGTCGGAACGTATCAAAATTGTGGGTACATTGATTGTGACATGGTTCGAGATGCATTTCCACGACGTTGCAAATTCCTTTAAAACTAGTGAATGAGACGAGCCTCGACAAACAAAAGTACACAAGCTATGGGGCCCTCTATATGGGTTGGTAAAATTACTTAGATTTCGGGATGGACCGTTTAGCAAAATTTCACGGCCTTACCCAAAATAATGATACGCTAGTCGCTTTAGGCGCGCCTTTAATAATTCACTTTCTTAAACTCGGGTGCACATTTATGTGACCTAAATCCAAATCTCCACGGAGTCAAAATATGTCAATAACCACGGGTGCATTGATGTGACGTGGTTCAAGATGTGTTTCCACGACGTTGCAATCCTCGTTAAAAAATAATAATAATAATAAAAGCGGTAAAAAGTTAAAATTTGCACATAGGTTCAACATGTATTGAAATCAGATAAATAAGCCGAATATGACAGTTGAACGACCGTGCTAGAACCACGGAACTCGGGAATGCCTAACACCTTCTCCCGGGTTAACAGAATTCCTTATCCGAATTTCTGGTTCGCGGACTGTAATACAGAGTCAATTTTTTCCTCGATTCGGGATTCAACCGGTGACTTGGGACACCATAAATCTCCTAAGTGGCGACTCTGAACTCTAAAAAATAATCTTGTTTCGATTGTCCTTTAATTGGAAAAACTCCATTTTACGCCCCTTTGCGGGGTGGAGGTAAAAAGGAGGTGTGACAAATACAGTCGAATACAATAATATGTCCAGCTGTAATCCCATGTTTCACGCCATGAATACACTCGAATACAAAAATTTGTCTAGCTGTAATCCCATGTTTCACGCCTAGAAATGCTACTGTATTCATGAATACAATAGCTTAAATACATCGAATACTCTAAAAAATCTGAAAACATAGCTATAGGAAGTAATATAGTAAATGATAGCTACAACTAGTTAATAACCACTAAAATATAGTGGTTTCTGAAAGTTTCCCCATAATAAATTTTTGAAGTTAATAAGTAGGAATTACTCGCTCTTATCTAATTTAAATTTTCTTTATTTTTTAAAATTTGACGTTTCCTTTCTTTTTCTGGACTCCATTCTTCTCATTTTATTTCTATCTAAGGATTTGTACAATGTACAAGTCTTCCAAAAGGTGTATTACAAATTTACAACATGGACCCAATATTTTAAACAAAATTTAATTACATGATTTTGATTATTTTAACATAACAATGTCATTTAAGGGGCTAAATTGCTTTCTCATTTATTATGAATTTATTTATGACGTGCTCGTTGAATTAAGTAAAACTTTAGGGAAACTCGTCAGTTTTAATCACTTTGTTGACTTTTAGTCATTAGCGAGATAAATAGGCTTCATTTAATTAGCGAGATAAATAGGGAAACTCGTCAGTTTTAATCACATGGTTGGTTAACTCTCTCATTTACTATTTGAGGTACTTATAATTTGGCCAAACACATACCTAAATTTAAGAAGATTTACCTAACTATTTAAATAACAACTTCATTTATGACTTCAATTATTTAAATAACAACTCCATTTATGACTTCAATTAAAATATTCTTAAATTTGCTTGCACAAAGAAAAAAGCTACTCCACGGGGATAAACTAAAAAAAAAAAAAAAAACTTG